GCTTGAAATCTCATTTTGCAAAGGGAGAGCCAATTTTGTGTAGAGAGAATTCACTAGTTAGATCAAATTTTAGGGAGAGGTTAGTAGGGTTAGAATAGGTTTCTTGAGAGAGATTTAGATCTACAATAGCAAACACCTTGTATGCTAGATTTTGCAAAGAAGCTTGAAGATTGAAAGCATTTTAGCTAGTAGATCTTCATCAACGATTCGTATTTGGTGGATCTAAACGATTGGGGTAAAATCTACTTTGTGCTTTATTGTTATATCTCTTTTTGCCCTTTGATTGTTGAGATCTTGACCATGCTTGGCTAAATCTAGTGGTTAGGGTTGAGGTGTAGATTGTTGTTGTGATGATGCTTTGATTTGCTTATCTTGTGATGTTTGATTGATTGTTGACTCTGTGGATGTTTTATTGTTGAGGATGATCTTTGTGACATTCTTGGAGTGGGGCCCAACTCCTTGGATGGTGTTAGAAACCTAGGTCTAGGAAAGAGATTGCTAGATCTGGGTAGCCTTGATCCTCTTCATTTCCCCGTCTTCGATTCGAGAGGGCAAGACCCAGAAAGAAGTGAGGGCAAAGTGTTTGCTTAAATGCCCCATAGAGAGCAAGAGTTCCTATGGGCGGCGTTAGACCGAATCAGCTATCGCACTAGCCATCCACTTTTCTTGACTAGTAGCGCACAATCAAATCACCACAGAACTCCCCCTTCGGGATTGACCAATCACACAACATGCACAATTGAAACCCAATCCTATCCGCCTTTCTCTCTCTTAGTAAATCCCTATTCCCCCATCTACCTTTCTTCGTTCCAAGAACCTTTTCAATTTCCTTTCAAACCAACAACGTCAACTCACTTTCCCGAATTGAGCCTTCAAGTGTCTAATCTACCTTACCTTTTTCTCAAGCCTAACTTCCAAGTTGTCATTCGTCGAGGGAACGACACTCGGGGTGGTTCCAACTCCCCATTTTACCATCTATCCATAACAATCCCAATCACAAGCAACTTCAATCTTTTAACCACGCTTTCAAGGAACCACAACCATAAGCGGAGAGACATTGGTCAAGTGACAATGTTGGGAAAAAGATGGTTTGATGTAAGTATTTTAACACTTTATTGTCTATTTTTATTATATTATCTTAGTTGCTACTTGCTTGTATAGTTATTGTGTTTGAACTAATGCAGGATATTCTAGATGTCACTGATGAAGTTGCTACGTCTGTTGAAATTTCTGAATTGGATCGTTACTTGGAGCAACCATGTTATGAGATGAAATTTTAACAAGATTTGAATGTGTTAAGTCATTGGAGGGGTTTTGTTCAAGGATATCCCATCCTTTCACGCATGACGTGGGATCTTTTGGCAATTCCTAAAACTACTGTTGCATCGGAGTCTGCATTTTCTATTGGTGCACGTGTGCTCACAAAGTATAGAAGTTCTTTGTTGCCAGAAAAAGTGCAAACTCTTATTTGCACTCGTAATTGGTTGCATGGTTTCAAACCAGGTAACTTAATTTATAAAATCTTATGTTATATTATCTTGTTTTTTTTTTATATAAAAATTAGTAATTTAATTTTAAACATTTTTTTTATGTATTTTATATATAGATTGTGATGATGTTGATAAAGTTGTTGAGCAAGGATATGAAGGAGTTAAAAGATGATAGGAATGAGAATGAATTGAATGATGGGATGTGTAACACCCCCGATTTTCATGCCAATTTAAAGCTTAAATATGCAAGGCAAACTAACCAACATAACATTAACGTAAACACAGCGGAAGTCTAAACGTAAATCGAGAAAATCAAGGAGTGTTATGCCACGTTCACACCAACGTGAACGCACAGGCAAAAACCGAAATCATCAATCTAATAAGTTCAACATCAGAGGCACACAGGCCCAAAACACAATCTAAACTGTTCAGGGAATCTAAACTATCCATGTCTAATGCTCTCGCCATCTACTCAGGACCTGTAAAGCACATAAAGAAAGGGGACGACGCCCGGTCAGCGAATATTGCTGGTAGCCCATCAATACGCGTCAATAGCATATATATATATATATATATATATATATATATATATATATATATATATATATAGTTTAATATAAAATCATTTTTGAAACAGAATATAGTATATATCAGTTCAAAACCGTAAAGAGAGAAGTCAACTGCAAGACTCTATTTCACTCTCAAAAGAACAAGGGAATCACCATCCCAAGACATATCAAGACAAGAACAACAACAGAACAACTCAACACCGTTCAAGATGTAATCTACTGAACACAAAGCAGAAAACATCACGGCAAAGACAAAACAACAACAAGTACAACTCGAGGTGTATTCTACTGATCACAAAGTAGAATACCACCCGTCATACTCATCAAAAAATGATAGACAATCACACATTGGCAACCCGTGCCACCGTGACACTACATGTCACATGTTACAAATACCATGTTCCATATTCCATCCTTATGCCTGGTTCCAACCTTATGGCTATCCCCAACCTTATAACTAGTTCCAACATTCACCTTCAGGACCCCTGTACTCCAAAGTCCAACCTTATGCCTCCAAGGACCGTCGTCCTCACTCCGACAATCTCCAACATATCCACCTATTCATAGTACATGAGGGTACCATTCATTTCACGGCCTGAAGCCACCCAACACATGAGCCTAAAGCCCAAACCACATGAGCCTGAAGCCCAATTACAACTCCATAATCACATCATGGCCCCCATGAGGACCACATCTGTACCTTGGTGATTAATGTCTCATACCATTAATCGTGCAATCCAGGTACAGCCAACACACATATCATCATAGGAATCAATCAATGGATCACAACAAAGATATGAAACCATACTCAATCAAGGAAGGATTACAATCCGACATCAACGATGATCAACACAAGTTATCATCCACAATAGGAAAGAACAAACCATACACGCTAGCATTTCAACATCAAACTAGCATGCTTATCAAACGGGTAAACCGAACATAGTTCCGAAGAACATACAAGACTCATCATGGTTCAACGAATCACAAGGTTGAACACTTAGCATGATTCAAGACACCAAATCCTAAATGGATTCCTAACATAACGTTCTAGACATACGAAACACCAAGAAGACACTCAAATAGCCAAACAAAAGAACATCGGGAAGTCAAAACATCAATTACCGAGTCAAAGAATCACGGGGAACAAATCCCCAAACATCATCAAGGGTGAACCCCGCGGGTGGGGCCACGGGTGGACCTTCACCCGTGGTTCTGCCCGCGGGAACCCATTCCCACCAGCCACGTACCCCACGGGTGGGGCAGCGGGTAGGCCACTGCCCGCGGGTACACTACTGTACCAAAAATAATCCCTTCGGGGATTTTCAACACCAAGTCCAAATTCAAGTCCAAAACACCCAAAATCTCACAAGATACAACAATATGACTTGAATCAAAGGAATAGTCAAGCAATGGCATACAAGAACCCTAATAACAAGCTCTAGATATGCATTCTCACAAGACAATGCATCAAATCTCACATTTCATAGCAAAAATCACATGTAGAAGTCAAGAAATTGTCATATAGGTAAGAAAATAGATTTTGTAAAGCATGGGTTACCTCTTGTAGCCTACAACTTCACTTATCACACCTTTACAAGCTTCTAACAAGGCTCTTCTTCAACTCCAACTTCAAGAACACACCAAAAGACAAAAAGATTCTATCATTAGAAAAAGACACCTTAAAAGGTACTAAAAACACTAATGAACCAAAGATCTTACCCTCCTATATGCTCAAGACTAAGAAAGGTTGAATCTTGAAGACCAACTGGAAGAATCTTGGAATGCCCAAACTTGGCTTGAAAAAGAAGCTAGCTAGTTTCTAGAGAGAAGGAGGAGCTTTTCTTTTTAGGGTGTTAGGGAAAAGAATGAAAGATGACTCTAGGTTAGCTTGTAATACAATCATAATCTGAAAAGTCTTCTTTACCCTTACTAAAGTGGGAAAGTGTTAGGAGACAAGGGAACAATTCATGAAGCATAGGGTACAACCCATTGACTTGGATTGACTAGTCAATTACTAGTCATCCGACTATTGAATTTTCAGGATTTTAGGAATAAACTATCAATTAAGCTAGGATTAATTACTTAATTAATCCTTAAATAGAACTTGGATTTACGGGGTGTCACTGGATGTCTAATGCTTGATGAATTTATGAACTTGTGATTTGTGAACTTTATAATTTTAGATTCTGCACTTTAAAATTATTGTTGTGTTTAATGTTTGATGTTTGATGAACTATGGACTTTGGACTTTGAAGTTGTGACTAGTTTGATGTTTGATGAGCTATGGACTTTGAACTTTATGTAATATTTAATGTTTGATTATTATGTTTTATGTGAGTTATGTATCAATTTATTTTAATTAGTTTTGTGTGTTGGATAAATTTAGCAAAGCAATGCCATTGGCCAATAAGATTAACAATTTTTTTTAAAGAGGGGGTTTGGGCGGGGGCCCGCCTAGCCCGCGGGCCAATGGCGGGGCGGTCCGTGTGACAAACCAAAATTTAATTTTATAAATTCGGTTTTAAGAAATTCCAAAATAGCCATTTTTTCACTCTATAAACATTTTTGCGATAAAATCTGTGTTTGAACAAATTATTTTGAGCCACTTTTAAATAAATTCAACACTAGGACTTAATTTAAATCTAAAATCCTAAATTCTCGGGTGCATTGCGCACCAAGTTTTTGATCCAAAAGTCAATCTGAGTGAAACCAAGAAAAACCTGAGAAACCTAAACTAAGTGGTTGTCTAGAAAATATTTTTGGGAAAATCTATTTTGAACCCCAAACTATTTAAAATCTCATTCCTAGGTTATGGTCCATGATACAAGGTGAACCACAAGGCCTAGTCTGATATTTTAAAGATGCAAGCCAAAAGACCACTTTGCCCTCCACCAATTATTGGTGATCTACCTAGGGTTTTGCACCCATATAAATAGAATCATTTCACCTTGCCTTCATCTGATCCATCTCTTTGCCTCTCCTCTCCTGAGCTTTCTATAAACAAAGAAGAAGCAAAGCAGTAACTTTTCTAACTTTCATTCTCATCCATCCATTTCAATTGCTCTTTGATCATTCATCATTTGCCTCTCATCTCTGAGGTTGCCTTAAGCTTAACATATACCTATGTTTGTATGATGGAATAGGTGGGGAAGGTGTTAGCATCTGAGCAGGAAAGGATAGGGAACCACACAAAGAAGAAGAAGGAGAAGAAGCAAAGGTATAACCCATGGACCCCCAAAGCTATTTTAGACTCTATGAAGTCTATTTTTGTAGTAGAAATGAGTATAAATGCTAGATTATTGAATGTTTGAGCTATTAAGTGAACTATTGTTGTTCTATGATGTGTTGTTAAGGTTTTAGAAGTGTTGAAATGTCTGAGATAATTTTACAGGTGAAGAAAATCATCTGGTGCACAAGGCAGTGTGCACCAGATAGTTCACGGGCCTAGCCAACGGCCCTAGGAGGGAGTCGTTGGCCAGCCCCATGAGAAGGCGGCTCCAGGGCACGGCCCTTGGAGAAGGCCGTTGCCCTGAGCCATGAAACGGCGGAGCAAGGAGGTGGGACATCCCATGTCTCGCCGAGAGCTCCGCCAGGCAGCATCTCTGTAGTGGTCGGGCCCTTGTGGCTCAGCTACGTGTTGTTTCGAACCGGGATTCGCGGGCCCTTGAGGCTCAGACACTCGGGGCCGTCATGGCGCACGCTTAGAATTTGATTTCATCGAATTTGGAGAGGAAATGAGCTTTTTGTGTTAGAAATTGTGAATAATGTTGCAACAGAGAATACCTGAGAGTTTTTGCAGCAAATGAATTTGCTAAGTGTTTGGTTTGGCTATTTTCTTGAGAAGCATGACAATTGTTTAATTTTTATATTAAGAAGTATGACTATTATTTGATAAGTTTTGCTAGATAAGCATGCCTAAATGCCCAATATGAGTTGATGAGATTGTCTGCCAAGTGTTAGAATTGTTTAAGGGTACAGAGAATGCTTTCTTGATTGCTAGATTACAATGAATGAGTTATGTTGAGTATTTTGAGTTCAAGTGCATGCTGAATACTTGCTAAATGTTTGTCAAAGAAGATTTGCTAAGTTATGATTTATAAAGCATGTTTATGCAATTGTTGAGAGTTCATAGTGAAGAAGTTGTGAAGCATATTTTACAGTAAAGTGTATATTTGAGCATACCATGTTCTTAAAGTGCATAAGTGGCCAATGTGAGCCTAAGTACTATTTTCAAAAACTTATATCTATTTTGGAAAATCATTATCTAGTTGCATTGAGAAGTTGCATGATATTTGATTTCCAATTTGTGAGAAAAGAGAAGTTGTAGAGATTATGTGTGCGTAAGTTTGCATAAATAAAGTTGTTGCATGAGAGAGAAGTTGCATAAGATATATATATATACTATCTATGGTGAGAAAATAGTATTTTGGAGGACCGTTAGGACTATGTCCTTTCGGAAGAAAAGAGATAAGATCGGATAGAACCGACAAATCAGTGAAAAGAGAAAGTAAAGAAAGAAACGGACATTGTGAGCCGACAGATTTGACATGTAATAAGGTCGATATTTCCGAGTTACGAGGTTGGAGACTTCCCGCCGGGCTTGGATCCTGGTTAGAGGGTGTTGATGTGAGTCTAATTGTGCATATTTCTAGTATTAATTTGACTAGTAGTTGCACCCGTGCGATGCACGGCTATATATATACTGTATATTATATTTAGTATAATATAATTAGATGAAAAAATATACATTTTGAAAACTTAATAAAATTGAAATGATGAATTTATAAATTTTATTAGACATTGTTGAATACTCTCTTTGTTGAACCCACAGCGATGCAAGGGTACCTATATAGTACATAGAAAATTCCGTATAATATAATAAGAAGAAGAAATATACCATTTCAAAGCTTACTAAATTTTAAATAATAAATTGTGGAATGTTATTAGACATTGTTGAAGACTTCCTTGTACACAACATTTGTAGTCGTACTAAGACATGGTACATTTTCTCCACAAATCAAAATTTTCAAACCCCTTGGGTTACTAACTCTTGAAACAGCTACGTACAATTGTCCATGGTTAAAGACATGTCTTTTCAACAGCAATCCCACTTTAGGAAGTGTTTGTCCTTGACTTTTGTTGATTGTCATGGCATAGGATAGCATCAACGGGAATTGCTTCCGTTGAAATTTGAAAGGCAATCTTGGATCTGACGGTGTAATTGACATTCTAGGAATTAATACTCTTCTTCCTACATTTGTACCGCACATGATCTTGCCTTCCAACACGTGATCAGCTAACCTAGTAACAATCAACCTTGTACCGTTGCATAATCCTAGTGTGTTATCAATATTTCTCAAGAGCATAACAGGTGACCCAACTTTCAATGTCAAAGCATGATTTGGTACTCTAGAACATCTCAGGCCATTCAAGAATTCGGGAGTATGCAAATCTGCTAACATATCAACATTTGAATCTGACTTACAAACAGAATCACAACTCAAGTAAGTCTTACCCTCGGCCGGATTATGATCATTCATGTATTGGTTAATGCTATCTACCACATCCAATATTGGAGCCAAAATTGCACTATCATTAAGATATGACAGATCGCCAATCCCTTGTCTAAAATTAGGAAGGTGCTATCAACAATTGTAGCAATAGGGTCATCCTCGCACTTCAGCAATAAATGTTCTGGAACTGTAATATCTGACTCACCATCACGTTGATTACCAACAGTTCCGTCACCTATATTAGCTATCCATTTTGCAAACTCCTCGATCTCTTTACCCTCGATTTGTGATTGCACACTTCTCAGACGTAGATTCTTAGTTAGCCTAAATACTTTGCAGAATTTCCAGAGATATGAGGAGCTAATGTTTGCGCGGACAATATCCTGTCTGGTACCCTTTGGAATTACTGGTAAAATCTGCCTGAAATCGCCACCGAAAACAACTGTTTTACCACCAAATGTCATATCATAACTCCTTGGATTTTTGAAGCCCAACAAATCCCTCATAGTTCGGTCTAGGGCTTCAAAACAAAATTTGTGCATCATTGGAGCTTCATCCCATATTATCAACTTGCTTTGCACAATAAGCTCTGCTAGTTGACTGTCGTGACTTATGTTGCAAGTGGAATCTTCATTAACAGATATCGGTATGGCAAACCGAGAATGTGCAGTTCTGCCACATGGTAATAAAAGCGAAGCTATGCCGCTAGATGCAACATTTAACACTATTTCACTCTGAGACCTTAACACGGAGGACAATGCTCTCCACAAAAACATCTTACCAGCCCCTCCATAACCATAAACGAAGAATAACCCGCCAGCTTGGCGATCAATATCGGTTAACACCTCATTGTATATGAGCTTTTGCTCTTCGGTTAATTGCCTTACCAATTCCTGGTTCTCTTTCTCCTGTTCCACACAGTCATATGCTAATTCTTCTTGTATAAACCTGTTTGATATAACGTTTAAGGCCGCAAAATTTGCCGTAGGAATTTCAGGATGGTCCTTGAAACTCTTACCATGAATAGATAATAGCTTTTCAATCTCCACTAAAGCAAAGTTCATCTTGTCAAATTCGGTCAACACAAAATCTGCATAAGTTTATATAAAATATACTAATTAAGATGCCTACGTTAAAGTTAACTTTATATTGTGTTAGCAATATAACTAAAATAATTTGTAGAATGTATGAGTACCTCTATTGTGCAATTGTTTGCGGACCTGGAATTGTGCATCATCTGACAAATGTGGCCACACATCATACCAAACTGTTTCCGGTTTACCCATGCAACTGCTCATTAGCAATGTAACAAATAATCTCCTCAATTGATCTGCTAACGCCCAATGACTGGCTTCATCTATTGCATCAACATATTCATTATCATCATCAACTAAACCTCTTGCATAACACGCATCTCGAAATGAGTCATAGTGGACACCATTAACAGTCCTGATATCTGCATAACTTGTAGGGCCACGTATTTTATTCAACAAACACCTCATATAAAAGATTTCTTCAGTAGCTGGTGGAACATAGAATATCCTTCCGATTGAGAACCCTTTTTTCCGTGGCTGCCATTTTCTAAGGTCTTTCTTCCAAACGAATCTTGTGGGCATCTCAACATAAGTAAGCTCTCTTGCATCTGGGAATGTTTTATTCGCCTCAAACCATTCCAAGAACATGCTCTGTGCTATAGTGGGTCTATTAACAATGTTCTCAACAGGATCATCATCTGCAAATATCACACTCTGTTGATTAGGAAGGTGAAAGCTTAACCTTTCCACTGAAGGAGCCCTAAGCTGTATATCAAAACCAAACAACCGCCAGACCGCTTCACATGGGGATATGTACGTACAATCATAGTACATATTAATCTCATCTATGGCTTTCCCATTCTCTTCATCATTGCTTGTTTTGTAGAATTCGGTTGTTACCCGATCATGACCCTTGTTAACATACTTGAACAGGTACTTGATTGAGCGTGACTGGTTGCACCACTCGACATTTATATGAGCCTTGTACTTAAGCAATAAATGTCTATTGTGCGGTACCACATACCTGTTGTCCAACGCGATCCCGTTCTTTGTAACTATACTGCCATTGTCTCTCCTTCTATATACCGGGTAACCATCGTCATCAAATGTAGAACTCTCAACAAATCTCTTAGGAAAATGTTTTAAGCATCGTGCATTTACCATACATGGAGAATGGCTCCTTGCTTTTCCACATGGACCATGCATCATAAATTCCTCTACCGCTTTGTAATATTCTACATCTGTCTTTTCATCTGGTATCTCTGCGGAAATTATTTTGTCTAGAGTGACCACTTGACTAACTTCTTTATTTTTCTCCAAAAAAGCAATATATGAGCATGCGGAAGACCTAGCTTTTGGAACTCAATTGTATATATAACTGCAACATAATAGCAATAACCAGATATAGGTAAGGTAAGTTATGCTAATTGTAAAGAAATTGATGTAAAATTAAACAAAAAAATTACCTCCCGCCACAGAGCCAAAAAAGTTTATTCTTTCGACAATCAACTATCAAGGAATCCAACTTCATCTTGAATAAACGGCAAATTATGTCAGGTCGGTCTTCTGCTTTCAACCTTCGATCTTTTAAAAAACGCTGGACCTCTGGCCACTTTGAGTTGCATGTAAACGTTATAAATAAATCTGGGTATCCAATCTATCTACATATTGCCATGGCATCCTGGTAGTTTTGTATCATGTATCGAGCACCGCCTGTAAAACTTGAAGGTAGTATTATTCTTCGACCTTGTGCTGCGGGGTTGACTTCACCCCTTGTTAAGGCGTCAGTCAACCCACTATATGTTTCACACCTTAGGCTTTTTTGGTGTGTCCTGATATAAATGAGTCTTCCTGACTCAACCATTGTGTATCCATCGACAACGAACTGTTGGAACAACCGCTTTGCAAATAGAATGGTACTCGGAGCAGAATCTCTAGTCTGAATGCGATAGCAAAAAAACTCCATGGGGCTAATCCTCTATCTACCACCAGCGGAACGGTTGCCGAGTACGTTCGAGAATGCAATGTCTTCCCGATAACCATCTTCACCATATGGAAACAACAGTGGGTATTGCAGTGGCAGGTATGAAGGATTTAATTCACTGATTCTCTGCAATTGCCCACCCTTAGCTTGAACAACAATATCACACTCACCAATACTGGTATCCAGATCTCCAACTATTAAAGTTGTTCCGGACACTTGCGGCAGATTGTATGTCCTTGCATCTTTAGTGCATTTTCCCAATAACTTTATTTTTACTCCAGCGCATGGGTTACTATCAAGCTCAGACATAGCCATCCGAAATGACTTAACCAAAACATTATTCTTATCGAGCTCCTTCTGAATGACATTCACTATTTCTACATGAATGTCATCTTGTTCACCTCTACCCCTACACGAATGAAAACTTTGCACTGATAAGTATGTAAATAAAAAATCATAGGTTAAGTGTAGTAACGGCAACTTGTTTACCTCACAGCATTTATACGGTTGTTCTTTTCATTTGTCGTGTCGTATATGTACAACTGGGCAAAATGTGGTGCTTTGCCTTCTTCTGGAAGGAGACTGCCCATTAGGTGATAGTTTTGTCCACTTAATCGGAAAACAGGTGGTGCGCCTCCCTTGTTCACGCTCGTGTCTATTTTACCACCCATTGATGTGAAGCAGAACATGTTGTTGTAGGTTCTGATGTTCTGGAGAAATTTTTTGGATAATTCGTCATTGCCGAAAAATAGATCAAATATACCTTTTGGTGGCAACGTATTCGCCGGCAACTTAATCTTCCCATTGTTGCAGCACAACGAAAACATCGGTGAACCTTTAGTGGAATAGTTTTTCTTCCTTTCTTCGAACCAAAACAACGCCCCACAATGGACGCAAATATTGGTTACATCACCCAAATCACAATACTCATCTGCAAACAAATTGGTATCTTAATAGGCGTCCATAAAATGTCAGGTTTCACAAGTTCCTTTCCGGTTTCACTTAGATTGACTTTTGGATCGAAAATTTGGTACGAAATGTACCCGAAAATTTAAGATTTTTGAATTAAAATAAGTTCCGGTGTTGAATTCATTTAAAATGTAATTCAAAATAATTTATTCAAACACCAAATTTGTCTCAAAAATTTTAATGGACTGAAAATGACTATTTCAGAATTTCTTAAAATCGGATTTATAAAATTAAATTTTGGGTTGTCACATTCTACCCCCCTTAAAAGAAGTTCCGTCCCGAAACTTAGAAGGAACGGATCGATTTTCTTAGAACGGAAGCTTTCGAAAAGGTGACAAGAATTTCAAGAATTGGCTTAGAGGTTCTCTTGGAATGCTAGGAAGAAATGGAATCTCTGATTTCCAAACAAGCACCCAAATAACTAAGGCGCTAAGCTCAATCTAACTACTAGAACTCACCAACCCAAAGTTTCTTTGTTACTCCTCTTATTCTTATCGTTCTTACCACTTTTTCAATCTCAACACTAAGTTTCTTTCTTTCAGCTCTCACACAACTTAACATTTCCAAGTTCACATCCCCTAACTTGCTCTTTTCTTACTTAATTCAATTCTTAGGTCCTCGTACTTTATAAAACACACGACCCATTTACAACTTTTCTCCTCACCTTCACATTTGTTTAATCCATCCTTAAGTCCAATTTCTCAGAGCTTCAAGTTTTAATTTTAACCTTCGAGTTTAATCTTTGAAATTCTCTTCACCATTGTTCTCAAAATCATCTACTTGGGTGGGTTTGACTTCTTATTGTTGCATCAACATTTACGCTTGTCTTCCCTCCACAATTGTTGATCTTTAACTGTGGTCTCTAAGCTCTAATCTCTTCCTTTTCTTCATATTTGTCTCTAGTTGCACAAAGATTCTCTTCAACTTTTGGGGTTAGCTTGGGTCTTGTAGACGATGATGCCGATCAATTCGAGCAAGAACAGCTACAACTGGCTCCAAGCCGCACGTGGAGTAACCTTCTTCATCACGTTCTTCGGTTGACTAGATATGCACGCTGCTACTTTACTTCTTCGCAACAAAAGATCTAACTACTTCGAACTTTCTTTTCTAAAAAACAAGGATCACACAAGTAAAACACACAAACATATTATAAGCATAACTCTTATACTTATCACATTAACAACTTTCACATAACTTTCAACTTTCAACTTTCAACTTTCAACTTTCAACTTTTAACTCTTCAACTTTTCAAGGGTAACAACAAGGCTAAACAAAGCAACTGCTGAACTAACAAACTTGAATTCACCAGATAGGTGTACACTTGATTTGAAGGAAATTGACTTCACAGAAGAAGAAAGTAAGAGGTTTCTAAACTTGAAACTCGAGAGTACTATTGGTTACAACCAAAGTCCTGCTTAACAAAGTTGATATTTTTCCGAGATTCAACAAAGTCTCGTGAAACAAAGCTACAGATCGGATCCCAAAAGAAGAACACAACATAGAATAATCTCAATGAAGCAACTCAATACTAACGGATTCCAAATAGAGATGCAATAAGGATTTAATCTCAAACAATAGATCAACATTAGTGAATTCCAAAGGAAGATATAAAAGAGAGATGATCTCAAAGCATTAGCTCAATAGCTCAATAACAATGAATGAATACCACAATGGACGATCTCAAGACAATAGCAACAGGATCTGAGAGTACAAAAAGGACATATAATCAATAAAATAGCTCTTCACGAACAAAACACTTTCAAGAATACTCAACAGATATAAGCTCATAGGAATTACTCAACAAACTCGGATTCCAATGGTATAACAACAACGAATAGATCTTGACTCAACAACTCAATGGATTCCAACAATATGAATTTCAAGGAATATAAGCTCAATTCAATTACAATGAGATTACAAGACTAATACTTTCAACAAGATCATACTAGCTTCAAGGTTCAATTATACTAGCATTGCAAGTCAACGATAGCTCATAAGAATACTTAGAAGGAATTTATAAGCATTCTAGATACAGATTCAACAATAAATCGTGGAATGTCAAGAATAGACATTAGCAATAATTCAAGGCTCAACTTAATCAAAACAACTTCTCATACTCAACCCTAGACATTAGATAGCTTCGATAAACATTGAAAGCAAACTGGAAGTAGTCAGAATAACTCAGGAATCAAAAACAAATTATGAGAGGATTTCTAGAAAGCGTAAGCTCAAGCTTGACAGTACAAATTCAAGGATTATCATGCCATCAACAACAAGGGATTTATAATAGAAGATTGGCACAATGAACACAACAATATACTCAAGATTCGACGTCAAAACCAAGCATATGAACAAGGAATATGCTTAGATAACCAACAACACAATGAATGTTCATATATGGAGTGAAAAATAGGTTTCAAGGACAAGGAGCTTATGTGCACACTATCAGGGTACAACAATCACAGATCTAAACAAGCAAATCAAATCACATAATAGCAACAAGCATGCGCAAGTAACTCACAATCTCACCGCGTTCCTAACTGTTACTTAGAGTTCTTCTTAACTCTGATTCTCATACTTAGTCACTGAACTTAGAGTCTTTCTTATCTCAAATTTCATAACTTAGGGCTCTTTCCTTAACTTACCCTTCCTAGGATTTCACTTAGAATTCTCTTCTTAGCTTGTCCTTCCTAGGACTTCAACTTAGAGATCTTTTCTTAACTTGTCCTTCCTAGAACTTTCAGTTAGAGTTTCTATACTCAATCTTAATGGTCAAACTTCCTAAGTCTCCCGCGGTTCGTACCGCTCTGATACCAACTTGTAACACCCCACTTTTCTAAAACTTAATTAAAGTTCTAAAACCAAATTAAGATAAACTAAGCAGTGGAAAATCAAACTTATTTAACAAACTTAGTGGGAATGTCACCGCCACAACCACCTTCCCACGGTGATTGCACAGGCTAAGGGTAAAACTAAACATCAAGTCAAACTAACATCCGAAATTTACTACATTAAAGTAACTTGGGGAAAAGTACCCCGGTGTCTATCACCAACAAAATGAAAGGTGTCTACATCCATAATCTCAAAAACAACGATAAAAGATCAAAGAGTTTAGACTACATAGCAACTAACTACACTAGTCTAACTCGAGCGCTCTCAAAAGCTGGGCCCACTTGAAAGGGGTTTTGCAAATAGACAAATAGAAAACACCCGTTAGCACGAAGCTAAGTATAACTCCACTCAACCCTGTAAAATACTACAATATATACTTTGGAAAAACATTTGTTCACATTCCCAAAATTAAGCAGTTCAATCACTTGGACAACTTTAAAATAAACTACAAGCTTTCTATATGCTTGCAACCTATAATATCAACAGGCATGCTTCATCAATAAACAACTTATTAACATAATCATACTAACACATAATCAACATAGCAAAACTCAACTCAATAGAACAACTCCATAACAATCTCATGCTATCAAGTTCTCAACATGCAATTAAGTATAATCAAATATCCATCATATAATCTATAACATACTACTCATGCCACCTCGTGCAATCAATTATCAATATGTGATCTTGTGCAAACATTCTCAATATGTAATCTTGTGCAAACATTCTCAATATGCAATAAGATGCTATAGGATAAGTATACTTATATACTCGTTTGTAAATAAAATGCTTTTCTGTGGAGGTTTCTTAGAGTCACAATGACTCGATATCTTTCTCTTGAGTCTCTTGACTCGATTTCTTTCTTGCTCAAACTTTCATACTTCTCGTTTCTCTTCTTGTGCGAGGCAGGTACTCTGCCGCAGTGAAGCCCTAGCGTACGGTGCAATCTCGTGCATCCGCCACATCCGTAACTACGGAACCTCTAACTCGTGGGGAGGTAGGTCTTCACTAATCGTGAATGGACCTAACCGGCTCGGCAATCTAGCCGGCCACATACTTAACTCGACCACAGAACCACTCTCTTGGTTCTTTATCTTTCTTTCTTTCTTGCTTTCTCTGTGGAATCAAATATCATACTTTTAATGTGCACACCTCCTAACCAGGATTCCAAGCCTGGTGGGCAGTCTCCAACCTCGTAACGTGGGAATACACCGCGTTACATGATAAATCTGTCGGATCACAATGTCCATTACTTTCTCTTTTACTCCGAAAGGACATAGTCCCAACGGGTCCTCCAAAACCTCACTTATATGGATAGATAATATATATATCTCTCATGCACCAAACTTATGCATGTCACTTTTCAACAAATTCTCAATGCCACAAGATAAAGACTTTCCACATGCACATGAGTTTTGGAAAATAATACTTAGGCTCACGTTGGCCACTTATGCACTTTTAAAACATGATATGCTTGGAATGTAATTTACTGAACACATGCTTCAATTCTATATTACTGTGAATTTCAAAAAAGAACACTTAATCATGCTTAGAATTCAAAATAACATGCTCTGTACACTTTGTCAATTGAAATCTGACTATAATCTCCATGATTCATAAAATGCACTTTAGGCATGCTCTTCTAACAAAATGTAAGCAATTAGTGATCATGCTTCTCAATTTAACAATCAAATAGCACCTTATAGATCACATAGGAAAATAAAGTCTGATGTTTCTCAAATAACATTACTGTAACACAAATGCGTCACAAAATCTATCACAAAATGCTCATTTCTAATCCAAACTCAACGAAATCAAAGTCCAAGCGTGCGTCATGACGGCCCCAAGGTACCGAGCCACAAGGGCCCGTGACACCCGGTCCGAAACGACACGTAACTGAGCCACAAGGGCTCGGCCACTGCACAGTTAACCCTCAACGGTCCTAGCGGCGGGGCTAGGGAAG